ATCACCTATTCAGCACGAATAGGTGATATCACCTATTCGAATAGGTGATATCACCTATTCATTTCGAATAGGTGATATCACCTATTCGAATAAGTGATATCACCTATTCGAATAAGTGATATCACCAATTCGAATAAGTGATATCACCTATTCGAATAGGTGATATCACCTATTCAATTTGAATAGGTGATATCACTTATTCGAATAGGTGATATCACCTATTCGAATAGGTGATATCACCTATTTGAATAGGTGATATCACTTTTTGGCAGTAAATACCAAAACGGCGCCTCATACTTACCTAAGTGAAGTGACAATCTATTATCAACTAACCATGAAGAACATTTATCCAGAACACTGCCCAGTTTATGAGCAATAATAGCAGGATCTTTGTGTGCATAAAAAATAGCACTATCATCAGCATATAAAATTAATTTACAGTCATCATCAATACTGACAGCCATATCGTTTACATAGATTAAAAATAAAAGAGGTCCTAAAATACTTCCCTGAGGAACACCACAGTTTATCGAATTAAAATCTGATGAAATGTTGTTAACATGGACTTGTTGCTGTCTACAGGACAGATAAGATTTGAACCACGCAGTGGATAAAACTCCTAAAACTTCTAACTTATCACATAAAATTGTATGGTCAACAGTATCAAAAGCTTTTTGTAAATCTAACATTACCATACCTGTAAAAAGCCCTTTAGATGTATTACTTTTAATAAAATCTAACATGTGTATTAAACAAGTATCTGTTGAAAATTTATTTCTAAAACCTGATTGGTATGAATACAACAAGTGATTATTGTTTAAAAAATCTAAAAGTTGAACATGAACACATTTTTCCAAAATTTTTGACACTATACACAGTATACTGACTGGCCTGTAATTTCCGACTTCAAGGGAATTTCCTTTTTTGAAGAGAGGTTTGACTCTCGCCATTTTAAAGTCTTCTGGTACGGTACCGGTGATTATAGATTTATTTACAATGGACATAATAGGTTCCTTGATATAAAAAGCACCATCTTTTAAAAACCTTGCTGGTATATTATCTAAACCAGTACTTTTGTTTACATTTACTTATTTCAAGTTTCACAAATTGATTCATTTTTTCCAAAAACCTCGGATATTTTAATCTTAAGATACTTTCTTTTATATATACAGATGTCACAAAAACGCATGAATATCACAATGAATCGCTGGATCAAACAATTTTTTTCTTTCATAGACATGTGAATTTTCTTACAGATTTTTATTGAACAATGAGGTGTAATTTCATTGAAGATTTTTTGACAGCCACTGACGGGAGGATACAACCCATGCGCGTATCTGGGGGGGGGGGGGGTCAGGACCCCCCTGGACTTTGCAGAGTCAGAGAATGTTTATACTGAAGCAAATAAAAAATGACTTTGGACCCCCTTAGAAAACATGAACCCCACCATAACCACCACAGAATAGGTGTTTTTCACGTTTGGAATATGGATTTCCTTTTCTTTTCTTTTCTTTTTTTTTTTTTTTTTTTTTTTTTTTTTTTTGCTTGTAAAGAAATCCTTGTGATTTATTATGTTTGGGATGGTATGTAATTCCATATACGACAGCCAACTGCACACTGTCAACTGCAAGCTGCTTACTGCCAACTGCTAATTGCTTGTATATATGATATTGCCTATTTTGTTTTATATCTTTAATACTCATGCTCGAATAAAGAAAAAAATTCCTATAAATCCTAAGATAGCAAGAAAAGAACGGCGAACGATAGTATTATTCTTTCTACTACCTCCAAGTCCAAACTCCAAATTCAACATATTTGAATGATTTTTCATATTTAAATAGCTATTAATGTGAATTTTCATAAAACATAACTTATTTGGGAAAACAAAGAGAATTGTCTCTAATTTGGTAAAAAGCTTGTGTTTTCACTATAGAAATCAACGGAAAACGGAAATTTATTTTCAATTCTTCCCCCCTCCCCCTTCTGTGAAACACCAATTCCTTCTCACGGGTGTTAAAATCCTTCTCACGGGTGTTATTATATAAATATTGCATGTAGTTGAGTGTAACATTGAAAATTTTCACCCCAAGAAAACCATTGTCAACCGAGGCGCAGCCGAGGTTGACAATGGTTTTCTTGGGGTGAAAATTTTCAATGTTACACTCAACTACATGCAATATTTATTTTATTATACTGAATGTTTATACAAATACACATAACAGTGAACCATGTGCGGATAAATTCACTATTTTTTGGAATATCGCCTGTCGTCTAGCAATGTTGACTGTTGCTACGGTGGAGGGCGTGGCTTCATTATTCAGCGGGTAATAGTGTTTTTTAACAAATGTTTCTCGACGAATCAGATTCAACTAATTTACATGAAAGTATAATATGAATTGTTATTTCACAAAATCATATCAAAGGTGTTGTTGTTTTACGGGGAGATGGGGGGGGGGTATGTTTACAGACTAAATATAGGAAAATAGTCATTTTTTATTACCAATTTCAAAAGAGATAACAAATAAAAAATGAACTTTATCTATTCAATCTGATATGTTAAAAAATTTTATATAAGTCAAACATACGGGGGGCCGTTTTACGAAAGAACTTACGACTAAGACCAAAACCTTCAGTTGATTGTAAAATTTTGCAAAATTAATAATTCTGTTTAGAATTATTAGAGTAAAAGTATCTTTCTACATACCATTTAAAAATATTCAAACCATTTTCTATTTATTGTAAATTAGAAAGTTACTAGCAGAATTATATTTTGGTCTTAGTCGTAAGTTCTTTTGTAAAACGGGCCCCTGGTGATTTTTTCAGTAAAGCCTGATTTCAATTTATAAAATGTTCTACTCCCTTATGAAAGGAGTTGTAAATAAGAACAATTAACTTTTGACACTGGTTTTTTAAAATTACTAATCCATTACTAATGAACTTTTCTTTGCTATCAAACAAGTTTTAATGGCCAATTTGTCATTTATATTGAATTAAAAGGATGTAAAATAGGCGGGAATCAAGACTTAGCGTGCATAAATCTTACAATAATGACGTAAATTGGCGGATTTAGAAAAGGAGTAAATCGAAGAAAGAAGTTTTCTTCTTAAAAACAAAACATTTAATTCCCACAATTCCTTGCAGGTAAATAATTTGATAGTTTTTTTTTACTCGAGTGAGGGGGGAGGGAGGGATGGTGGGGATTGTGGGGTTCACATAAGATAAAAAAAAAATTATAGCAGGGTCTCGGGTAACATTTGTTGTCATATAAATTTATGCTAGAAATATTACTTAATTTTATAATAATTTAACATTTCCCTAGGGTAAATCTTTTAGTGTTTCTTTTTACCCTATGAAAGGAACCCGTATTTGTAAATTTTTATATGTGTCTTATTTAAATCGTTTTGATGGCTAATGTTAGAGTAAAAGCATTGGTGGTGGTGGCGGGGGTGTCCCCAATAAATTGCCAGCATATACAGTACAGTAGTGCTCCCTCAATAACGACGCCTAGTGACCTTTTTTTTATTAATTGCCAAGGGATTTCTGTTGGGTCCCCCCCCCCTTCCCCGCACGGAAATTGCTTCCTTGCCTAAGATCAGCTGTTTTAACATAGAGTAAAATTGATATTTGTATTAGGATTTTTTATTAGACTAAGTATTTCTGGGATAATGCATATACCAACAAATGTATTCTAGGATCCTACTACAAGCCCCCCCCCCCCCCATTTTTCTGACATTATATATAAGACTTTAATCTCTCTCCGTCAGGAAAAGCTATTGAATTATTTGCCTGCAAGGAAATGTGGGGATTAGATATTTTGCCGGTATTTAAGAAGAAATACCCCTTCCCCCTATTTATTCCTTCTTAGCTCGCCTTTCTGAATTCGCCAATATTTGTTAAATATATTCAAACATGCGTATTAAAGATAACAAAACAGGTAATATCATCTATGAGCAGTGGCAGTTGGCAGAAAGCAGTGACCAGTTGGCAGTAAGCAGCTGGCAGTTGGCAGTAAGCAGTTGGCTGTCGTATATGGCATTCCATAGCCTATCCAGAAAATTTCTTGACAAGAAAAAACAAAAACAAACAAACGTAAATCCATTTTCAAAACGTGAAAAACACGTATTTCGTAGTGGTGATGGTGGGGTCCACGTTTTCTGGGGTGGGGGGGGTGGGGTGGGGTGGGGGGGTCTAAAGTCATTTTTTATTTGCTTCAGTATATACTTTTAGTTACTCTGCAAATTCCCCCGACCCCCCCCCCCCCCCTCTAGTTCCGCACATGACAAATCTTCAATGTTTACGTTTGTGGTTTTTGCGTATATGCTATGGAAAAGGTTTTTATTGTATATATTTAAAAGCGATCTTCACGGCACACCTATTTGATTACGTTTTTAATGAAGTAAATCTTCGAAAAAAAAAATGGAGATTGTTGGAATAAAATTGAAACGCCCAAACTAAACATATATTTTACATACTAGTATTTTAAAACAGATGAAGTAAGTTGTTTTTTCCCTGTATTCGTGATTTTTTAAAGAAAAGTTCGTATCATAGATTCGTCGTGAAAATCGGACTGGAAATAATTATTTATTAGTATTGATCGGCAACTCATAACTGAATTTAATTAAAGTGCTCAATAATTATATTAATCTAAACATTCATTAATCAAACGACCTTTGCTTAAATAAATATCAACATGATCAAGCACACTGTATGTTTGAAGAAAACCACTGGGGCGAATCCACTCAGGGCGAACAGGGAAATGGCGCGAAACCACTCAGAGCGAACAGGTAATTGGGGCGAAACCACCCCCATTCAAACACACTACCCCCTATAGCATTGCAAACAATATTATCTACATTCCACATTTCTAAATAAATTATGATATTCGGAAATCAGTCATCACTGTATATTTGTTGAAAATAAAACTATGCCAGTCAGCTGCTTGAAAACGGTAAAATTTTAAACAATTTTTGTCGAGAGGAATGTGTTGATATAAACGGCCTTATTAGAGTTGTCAACTGCTGCGATGGACTTGCCACGTTTGCGATAACGGGAAAAATCACTCAAAAACAAAAATGATTTATAGCTAATGCTTTGTGTAAGTGTTTTAGAATGATAGAAATCTTAGTTATGAATATGTATATTTGATATTTTAAGCGCTTGTACGCTTGGCATCTTGTTACATATGGAAGAAATGTCACTGACTGATTCGCCTAACTTTTTTTTTAAAAAGATTGCACACACTCCTGTGATCAAACATAACTATACTACTTTGTTAATTCATTGTAAAAATGTACTCTTCCTTGGACAATTATGCTAAATTCAGTGATTTCTTATTAAATATTGAGAGACAAAGGTCAAGAAGTGTTGGTTAATGTCAGATATTAAAATAGGAATTTCTTTGTTTACTCTTTGGTGTGAAATGATTTGGCAAGAAAAATACATTACTCTGAAGTTTTATTTACTCAAGCATCCCCTCGTCCATGCCCTTAGACATTTGCATTGTAGACAAACTTATTCCTGTGTGGGATTACGCTACATATGTATGCATGTGGTCACTAATTTTCCAGGGAATTTTGTAGTAGTGTACTCAAAGTGCATTTATAAGACACATAGTGGCAATCCAAGAAATGATGAAATGATCAGATAACCAATGATTAGTAAACATAAACTGACTGATTTGCATAAAAATACATATTTAATGATCTCTCGATGTGGTCTTTTCTTCCTGTAATCCAGATGTATTACTTCTCTGACAGTAATAAAATTCCTGTTTTTCATTCATTTTTTCCAGACTAGTCAAATGATCATGGTCTCAAAGTGTACTTGGGAAATCTAACAAATACAACATGTTGAGTAGAGCATCACATACAATAGCATTATGTTCCATCGCCAACTTTATAAACTCGGCGGACAGAGTGATTATGCCCATTGCTATTGTACCCATGGCAGATGAGTATAAATGGGACCTACATGGACAAGGATGGGTTCTTAGTTCTTTTGCTGTTGGTTACATGAGTAGCCAGGTGAGTTTTTTTAAAGCAGGTTTCCCCTTAATATATAGAACATATACCAGGTAAATTACTCTGACGTAGATTTTCTATGTATATCAGTGGTTTTGAGTTGATGTTTGGCTTGCTTGTCTTTTCATATTTAGATAAATTAGAATTTGAATGAAATATCCTATCTTCTTTCACTTTTCCATAGATTTGATCATGTCTGAATAATGTATTCATAAGAGGAAAACCAAGTTTTCAGAATGCATTTCATTTGTGGGAAAAATAAAGAATTTATATTCATTGGTATTGTATGATGTATTGTATATGTACACATATGATCTCTGAACTAGGTAATTGGTGGAAGTGGGGCCAAAAAGTATGGAGGAAAGATGATGCTTACCATAGCTGTGCTTCTGTGGTCTTTGTCAACGTTTCTCGTCCCCTTCTTTGCTCATTCCATTTATGCATTAATACTTTCAAGAGTCTTGTTAGGACTTGGTGAAGGATTAGGTAATTTTTCTTAAATTGATTTACCTATTAAAGTGTTTTTATCTAAATAAACTTGTACATATCCAATCATTTAATAGCAAAAGTGAAGTTTTCACAGTTAGAAAGCCACTTTTCAAAAGTTTTTTCTCCCAGTATTTTTCAGGTTAAAAAAAAGAGATACAAGTGATTAGTGTTGATTTTGTTAATATTAATTTTGTTATTATTTTAGGATTGCCAACAATTTTCCATATTTTTTCCCATGCCATTCCATGTGAAGAGAGGTCTAGGGCTTTTGGTTATTTGGTTGCATTTGGCTCTATTGGACAAACTTTTGCATCTGTGGTAAGTGACATTTCTAGTTCAACAGTGATTGTCTTCATATACATGTGGGGATAGTAAGTTATACATGTAATTCCAAATTATGAGAAAATGCTGCACCTAACTTAATTTTTGTGAAATTTTATTTTTGCAAGTCAAGAAGCATTATATTAAACCATGTTGATGAATATATAATTAGTAATTAAATTCATTTCCAGGTTTTATTGCTGAGAGATTAACTTTTCTTTGTCACACATTCTCTTGAATTTATGTGTAAATGAAATTCTTATGAATGAAATACAGTACATGATAAAATGTTTTGCATCAAAAAAACATCGTTAAAATTCAATTTACATGTATCTCTGCTTACAGCTGTGCCCTCACCTAGACTGGGAGTGGATGTTTTATTTATTCGGTTTTATGGGTTTTGTGTGGGTTTTATTGTGGATTCTGATGTACAAAGAAATTAGAACATCCACTGAGGAAGACTTTGTTGATCCTCCAAAGGTAAAAAGAAAAAAAAGCTTGTGTATCATCTACTTTATAATACCTGTGGCTGCAAAATTAGAGTTTTATGTATTTGACAACTATTACCTATATGTCAACAATTAAAATGCAGATACATGTTTGAACAAGTGAAAAAGAATTTGAATTTTTCATTTTTTTTTTGAAAGCTAGAGATTTTTTCAGGATATTTTTTTTTTTCAGATAAGGGTAAGATTAACTTTCTACTTCTTAAACATCAATATTCATTTTTTATTGTTCTTGTTTGTGATTCCTCTTACCGGTATTTATTTTTGTCTCTTTTAATTTTATGCAGGTCAATAATAACAATGTTTCCTGGCGAGAATTTCTGTGCCATTGGCCGCTTTGGTCCATTTATATTGCTCACTTTAGCATGAACTGGTCCAATTATATAATCATGCAGTGGCTGCCAACATATATGACTCGTACACTTGGGGCCGAAAAGAGCCATATCATGTTTACGGCAGTGCCTTACATCATGAATTCTTTAGTCGGAATGGGTAAGTAAGATTTTCTGATTAAATTCAGTTAACATCATGGCAAGAAGTTTACCATTACATTTTGTTGCTTAATAGGTACATAATGCAAAGAATGATATACTGGTAATAAAAATGTCATACACTAAAATATCATTTAGAACATTTGATTTGATGGCCCACATCTCCTAGCAAAAAAAACTGGAGAAAACTTAGAGTCATTTTTTATGACAGCAGTAGACTTAGCCACCTAACATTTCTTCTGAATTGACCCTCATTTTAGGATGATATTTTTTGCATTGATAATTCTGTGAAGTTCCTTTATCTTTCAGGTGCTGGACACTTTGCCGATTCCCTGATAACCAAAGACAAGTGGACATTACTGTCGGTTAGGAGGCTAATGACCAGCATTGGTCTTCTGGGACCAGGATTATTTATTTTATTTTTCAGCGCTGTAAATAATTTATCCCTTGCTGTTTTGTAAGTACTACTCATGAATTATTAGATGTTATCAACGTTAAAAAAATTTTGAATGAATGATCCATTCATTTGAATATTAGAAAGGTGTCTATATTACTTCCTGTAGATATACAATTTTTTTCTTAAATCTTAAAAATCCATTCCTTTTCTTATATATACATGTATATAACAGAGAGATAGGATATTATATCATAAAGGTAACAGTTATAAAGCACGAAGACTCTTATTTTCAATTTACATAAAATGAATGAACAAGCGTAGTGTAGGAGATCACAAGTCATCTGTCAAACAAAATATTAAAGCTTATTCATTTTGGATATTCCTTCTGTTTCCAGCTTTGTTTCCCTTTCTCTTGGTTTAAGTGCTTGTAACTCATCAGGACACCTGAGCAATCATGCAGAAGTGGCTCCTAATCATGCTGGAATTACTTTTGCCATCTCCAACACATTGGTAAGCTACTTTCATAGTCCTACATGTAAATATATACATTATTTGCTGTATTAAAGATTTTGACATTTAAATGCTCTTCTACTGAGAGAATATGTAATTAAGAAAAAAAACAGATTTTTTTTCAAGTCCAACAAAAAAGCAATTTTTATCCCAACAAAATTTGTGTATACCCTAGTGCATATAAATTTGTAATGCATGTAGATGTGTCTGTAGGTGATGGCATGTTTTTTTGTTTTCTTTTGAGTTTTATGATCATATTTATATTACTATAGGCAACAATCCCTGGTATCACATGTGGACCGCTGACAGCAGAACTTGTACTACAGAGTCACGGTCGATGGTTTCCCGTGTTCATCATTGCCGCCGGAGTGAATTTTGTTGGTGCTATTATTTACCTTAGTCAGAGTGCAGCCAGCCAAGTGCTGTAGCCTCAAAGTTTTGTTTTTCTGATCAAAAATATAAACACTTGAACTTTAATTCCAGTCAGTGTTTTTGCAATGTATTTAAATCACTTGATGCTTCATTTTCATCTGTTGAATGAAGAATGAATGTTATTTTTTAAAAATTTAATGTGTGGTATGTATTAGATGTGTGTTATGTATTAGGTAGGGCACATTTGGTGCCTTCTTTGAAGGATATATTAAATGTGAACATATATTTTTTTAGATAAATAATGTGCTGAATTGTTTTTTGAAAGGTTCCAATACTCATTATTTGAGATGTTTTTTTTTTTCTGTGATGAGAGCATTAGTTCTGTAGATATAAATTTAATCCTGCTTTATTGTTCAAATGTGGCATTTGATTGTATATTTATAATATGTACATGTGTAAAGAAATATTTTTTATGTGAATGGAATTTCAAATTCTCCAATTAAGGATTTATAGTTGCCAAAAATTTGTTTTTGCTTAGGTTAAAAAAATATGAATATGTATTTTTGAAGGTATGGTATGCAATACCCTCTGAGATTATTTTATGAACAACATGCATTTTTGTTGATATTTATTTTTGTTGTTTTGAATTGCATGTATATACATGTAACAACATCCCTCCATTTGTTGAAGCAGGGTGTATTTTGTGTCTGAATGAAAAAAGGGGAGATTTTACTAGAGAAATACTGTAACAGTATGTTTTGCATTGACCCCCATTCTTCTTTACACCTTTTCAAGATTTAGTACAGAACTGACAATATATGTCTTGTTTTTTAAATTTTTCTATTAGCATATCATATGTTAAATGTAAACACATTTTGTTTAAAAAAAGTGCAAATCAATTTCGAATGTAGTAACTGTTGTTACATGTAGCTTTGCATTGAAAAGAACAAATTTTGAGTGTGATTTTATTCACTGCTCTTTATTTGTAATTCAATGATTTATCCATATCTTGAATATTTGAAAAAACTAAGTTTGTAAAGCATTTTAAGCTAAAGATAATGTATTTTAATAATTATGAGTTCATGCCATTGTGAGCTACTCTTAGATCTGGTTGAATTAGGATGTAAACACCCAGTATTGCTATCCCTTTTTTAAGTAATTAACATTAACAGAGAAAAAAAAATCCTTATACGCAGTAACAACAACCAATGAAGCATGATAAAGTCTTTATAAATGCCTTTGAATTTAAGGTTCATTGACCCTCTGATAAGAGAGATAACTGTCACTAAGATAAATGACTAGAATTTCTTTATAAAATTGTGACCTGCAAAGTATGCTGAAGTTGTGAGCATTTTTTAAAAATTACATAGACTTTTGTTGAAAAATTATAAGTGTTATAACAAAGTTTTATATGAGTTAACAGAGGAACATTGAACCCGATGTGAAATGAGAAGAAAGTAACATATCTTACAGACATTCCCCAATTTAAAAAAAAGGTAATGCAAATAATATAGAGGTATTATACAAGCATAAAATGTCAGCAGTGAATTTCTTTAGTGACAGAAAAAGTGTGTGAGGATGAGAAAGTCATGTTGTCAAGAAAATTTCATTAAAAAAAAATAAAAATGTAATGAATATTTGTACTTTTTGCATGTGTTTACCTAGTGAAAAATATATCACCATGCGTCTGTTAGGACAAAGTGACATTTACCATCCAAGAGATCTTTGATTCATTTTAAACATGGCAGCTTATTTTTTTGTAGAAGTTATCTCTCTTTGTCCATGGATTTGGTGCATACTCACCCCTTCAAAAAAATAAAATAAAAATCCTGCATCCACTCTCTGCAGCTCTTAAATATATTTTATTGATTGGAAGGGGGTGGTTGAGCCCCCCTCCCTCCTTTGATCTGTCCCTTAATACCCTGCAAAATAAAAATGACGCTAAGACACAGGATTCCTCTTTTTTTTCACAAAAAATGTTTTTTAAAATTAGCATTTACTAATACAAAGGAAGGAGATAGCATTTTTTACACTGATTTAAAGCAGTATTTACTTGAGTGATATGTTCACCTCCTCCATAATTAGATCATACATGTAGACTACTTTATTACGCTTACGAGGGTTGTTAGAAAAGTTCGCGGACACATTGATTTACGGAAAATTTATTGTAAACTTTGAAGAATGACGTATGTCTAATTAAATTCTTATCTTTTGTTTATTAATATGTAAAAGATCAGGTCCATTTACTAAAATTTTGAAAATATACGTTGATTTTTACTGCGCGGTCATAGGATTCACGGAGCAATCACTTGACGTTTTATGACGTTAGGTGTCGCGACAACCTGATTCCAGACCCGTGAAGCTTTTTCATAGTTTTAAATATCTTTCATTTCTATAGACTTTTCATGTCTTTTTTTTACTTAAAAATTGAATATGTATATCAAGACATGTTATATATTTTTTTAATGTCTTTTGTGGCGTATCAGATATTAGTGAGATCTTTAAAACAATGTCTACGCAGTTCAGCGATAAGATTTGAGAAACAATGCAAAATCCATAGGCGCAACGCCCATGCGATGATCAGGATATTGGGGTATCGCAGGAGTCTATAATCAAAAATGTCCATCCTTCCATTCTTACAAAGTTGTTACCACTTGAACACTTTGGTACTAGATACGTGTAAGCCATCCCCAGTAGCATCTAAAAACATTTTAGTCTCTTTCGGGCATTTCCCTGTCTGCACACATAATTTTTTTAATAGCTCGGTGCTCCAAGACGGTCAATGACGTTACCAATTTTTAACTTTGTTTTTACGCATTTATCATCTATAATAAGTGACAAAACAGTCATAACTCCTCCAATTTAATTCAAAATTTCGCCAAATGACGTTTCATGAATATCTTAGCAAGAGGTGAAATATCATAAATCTTTATGCGCTACAACAGTGCAATCTTTAATTTCAAAATTATGTCTCTGAAATGTAAAAATGCGAAAAAGTAACATGCTCCGTAAAGCATGCTTTATCTAAATTATTTCGCTATATATTTTTTAAAGATCATCGGAAAACACAAAATTTTTGCATATTAATTGGAAAACACTTACAGTTTTTACCTGCAGAGTTTTAATGATTTCATGTAAATAGCGGGATCACAATAGAACTTGTCCGCGAACTTTTCTAACAACCCTCGTAAATGCATCATTCGCGGGTCCAGGACATACTTTTTTCCAAGGAAGGGGGGGGGGGGGGGAGGTTCAACACCAACTCAAAAATTTCGGATTCGGAAATTTTTTTTGACAAGCAATCTGTTCCAACTATTTCGGGGAAGGGGGGGGGGGGGTAAGACATGTCACTTTCCTCAGTAAATTTTTTTCAGATACAAGACTCTCCTTAGAAATTTAGGAGGTTCCGTGTTTCCTACGAGGGAAGGGGTAATTTTTTCGTTACTTTTAATATATAGAAATTTGATATCTCAGAAAATCGCAGAGAGTGGTTCGGTTGAAGCAAGAAAAAAATACTTTCTTCGTTGTAAAACCATTTCATATTTATTAATTTCGTATCACACCGCAGTGTAGAGTCAAGTGATTGGAAGTGGAAACATGTAGCCATGCAAAGTATCTTCCGGCTTGGAAGGCTGTTCCGAAAGACAGATTATTCCAACTACAGGATCATGACGATATCACTTCAAGTCCTCATGGTTATGTTGTTCTGTGTGGAATTAGCCAGTCAACTTATGTGCATCGTTATGGACATCCTCACAACGTCAGAGATCCTGAGTCTACATGTGGTCGCTGTCCAACGACCACGTGTGAACTCTGGACTCTTGACGTTGTGAGGACGCGTTATGGACCGAATTTTTAAGTCCGAAACCATGGGATTGATGCACAGTGATTCCAATTTCCGATTTTCAATATTTTGCCAAAAAATAAATTGCTAGAAGCATGAGTGATAATTTTAAGAAATGTTGGGGTTACCTTTTAAGATGGTACATGTATTAAATTCTGAAGAACATAACGACATACCGGTATTCAAGTCACAAGAAGACAAAAATGAATATTTTACAAATTTTATTGTATAAAAACTCATATAAATAGTAAAGCGCTCAAAAACATTTACACCACATTCATTCACATAATTAACAAATGTTTATTTATTTGCCCTGGTTTCCTAAGAAACCAAAAGATGATTGTCCTGAGTTAGATCCGCCTCCAAAATTATTTGAAAACGCTGACCCGCCTGTGTTAAAGCTATTCCCACCCCCTAGACTGGACCCCTGAGTATTGAATCCTGTCTGTGACCCCTGAGTGTTGGAGGAAGCTCCCTGACTGTTGAAGCTATTTCCACCCCCTGGACTTGCCCCCTGTGTGTTGAGTCCTGTCTGTGTTCCCTGTGAGTTCACACCAGTCTGCGTTCCCTGGAGACTTGAACCTGAGCTAGAGCCTGAAAATATATAGGCATTGGTTAACAAACACATTTCAAACCAATAAATTTTTGCAGAAGTGCCCTTACCCCCCCCCCCCCCCCCGAAATTCAGACACAATTGAAGGATACAAAATTATGTTGTGTCGTTTTCATAATTTTTAAACCGATTAATTCTTAAAGATACCTACTTGAGCTAGGTGACCAGGCTCCCCCCGACATGACCATTAGATCGTCCTCTGAGTAGGGAGTTCTCCAGTTTGCTGGGCTGGCGCGCCCAATGGTACAGCAGGCAATAGGGGTGCGTGCGTTACCGTTCTGTAGACTGGCAGAGTTAGTTCCAGTTCCTTCATCATCCCGCTCCAACTTAACCTAGCAAATGAAATTTGAGGTGTTTTAAAATTGTTGTTTGTTGAAAAAAAAATGCTGCTAAATGTAAAAGTACGTTTGAATATTGGTTACCCGTAATATCTTTCGATGCACGGGATTTTTCGAATTAATTTTCCCGTCGTCTCGCGTTTACAGTCTGAATTATGTGATTAAAAAATAAAATCCTTACCACTAATGATCGGCCGAGAATACTGCCCTGGCCCTGAAGGGAAATGACCTCATCTCTAAACTGTGTGGAAGCAACCCCCTGGGCTGACTGCAGCATGTTTCCTAAGTCTCCAACATGACGCAAGCTAGAAATATTAAAAAGGACCGAATTCTTAATGAAGAAACGTTTAAAAGAATACCATATTATTACTCAAAATCAAATAAAAATATAATCATTTATAACATACTAGTACGTTTATACATGCATATTAGTATGATCAGCTATAACGGGGGGGGGGGATTAAACGTTACGACATACTTACAATGGGTAACTGTTTCGGCCACCGTGGCGGGTCTGGGTGGGGTTGAAGTGGGGTCCCACACGGGAACATCTTTCGCCTATATCTCCGAATTCGTGGATGTGGATTCCTCTCTGGGTATCCACGGGTGAGGTGGGAAGTCCCACCAGCTGAATTCTTATGTCCACACCCGAGTCACCAAACAACTAAAAGAAAATTCTTCTAAAATCAACAAACAGCTAAAAAAAAAAAAAAAACTAAAATACATTTAACTGTTTTTTTTTTTTTGTTGTTGTTGTTTTTTTTCTAATGTATACATAAAATTAAAGGAAATCATGTACTGAGAAGCAACCATTACCTAAATGTATGTATTTTACTCATTGTTAAAACACAACATTGACTTACAAATTGTCTGAAGTCGGCCCGTCCCCTGATACTGTTCTCGGTCGAGTTGAAGTAACATGTAGCATAACGATAGTTGTTAGGGTTCTGCGAAAGACTCATAAACAACTGCCCGCTGGCTGTGAATTGATCTGTACAAAAAAAAATGTTCCGTTACATAACGTATACCTTTCATGATATCAATGATCTTCCGCAAATGTACATGTATATCTTAGATCGAAGACCAATTTTATTTTATTTTTTTCCTATACGTACTTTGGGTGTTTCCATTATTTGCCCCCGGTAGGTTTGCTCCAATCACATTCCCAGGAATAAAAGGGTTTCCAAATCTATTCCCAACGGTTCCAAATCCACCGATAGCATTTGGCTGAAATCCTCCAAGTCCGGGTCTGTTTACCTGTGGACCGTTTTGTTGTCCTTGGGGAGGAAATCCACCTTGGTTCTGAGGCGGAAAACCTCCTTGATTCTGTGGCGGAAATCCTCCTTGATTTTGCGGTGGGAATCCTCCTTGGTTCTGAGGTGGAAAACCCTGATTTTGGTTCGGAAATCCGCCGGGTTGTTGACCACCTTGAGGGAAGCCTCCTCCCTGATTTCCTGCTTGCTGACCCTGTGGAGGAAACCCACCTGGTTGCTGCTGCCCACCTTGTGGAGGAAAATTACCCCCTGGTTGTTGACCCTGTGTTGGAAAGCCACCAGGCTGTTGGCCAGTGTTTGGAAATCCACCTTGAGTAGGAGGTTGAAACCCCCCTCCCTGATTTCGTGGTCCAAAATTTTGGGGAAAACCACCTGGCTGTTGATTTTGCCCGACTCCAATCTGCGGTGTTCCTTGTTGATTAAAATTATTAAACTGGGCAAAGCCTATTCCTAAACATAAAGTTAACACGGTCAGTGATGTTAGTTTCCGCATATTTTCTTATAGCTTTTAAACTTGTATGGTGTGTAGTCTTCGAAAGCTAGTTTACTTATGACCAAAAATATGTATACTTCAGTTATATCCTATCCATCAAGTGACGTAGAAATAACTGACACATGCAAGTTAGTGAATGACTTCCGTTTTTAGCTGACCCTCGGGGTAAATGAGTAACGACTGGGTTATATTACGGGTACCGACGACTGAGAGACGCAATGTATTTTTCACCATAGCGCGTCAGAGCAATGCATTACGAGGTGGGACACACACGCCTAACACCCTCATGTGTGACGTCTCATGTTTTGGTACATCACCAAATGTAATATTGCATATTGGAATTTAGAACAAAATACTAGGATGAAACACCCCCACATTTAACTAAAAAACCCCACCCTTTTTTTCTTAGTTCCTTTTTTTAATCATTTGAGAGAGCTGGAGTAGGGGGTGACAACTGCCAATACATGAATGAAATTTCGCACAGCATTATTGTAATTTTCTCCAAGACTTGTCCTTTTTGATCTCTTCGATGTTGTTCTTTCATTTTTTACTAAAAAAATATAAAATGCAGCTAATTTCTGCGGAAACTATCGAAACATCTCTTGTGAATTTGTTTTCATGTTTGTGGTGCAGCTACTGTTCTATTGTAGATCGAGAATTTTCTGGGTTTATATAAACGATGTAAGTTGTATAACTTTTGTATTACAATCACTCTGAACATTTAACATTTCATGCATAGAGATACATAGAATTCCTTTTTTCTCTTTATAATAAAAATTCTCAAATCTTTCTCAATCAAGATATATCAAGGGCAGATCTAGAATTTCCAGATGGAGGTGGGCGACTCCCCCCCCCCCCCCCCAAAAAAAAATCCAAGAGTTGGATTTTTTTTTGGGGGGGGGGGGGGTACTACAGAATCTCACAAAGTTGATATAATAGCAGTTTTTACCAAGACTTTCTCAATTTTACAGATCACACGATGGGTGTGACCGCCCTTTCCTTTTGACCTGTCCCGGAAAATATCTATTTTTTAGTTTAAATCATAAAATATTGACTAAATAAATAAATATTTAGTATATTTTAATAAAATCTTAATACCCATTTCAATAAACTTATGTGACATGCCAAATGTTGCATACATTCATTACTAAACAAATATAATTCAGTTGTAGAAAGACACATGGTTTATGGTGTAAAGAAGAAAAAATTTTCACAGAAAACAAAAATGAAAAAAATACATGTACATGGATAATATTAGCACTTAAAAATAAAAGTAGTTTAGGTTCAGAGAAAAAAAAATAAATGAAAACATATTTTATACGATAACAAAATATCTTAATACTTTAAGGAGATTCTGGCACCAAACAGATCCATTTGACACACATATACATATATTAAAATCATTTTTTTATGAAAAGTCAAATACATATACATTTAATAAATTCATCTACACTTTGGTTGAAAAAAAAATTCTTCTAGTAAAATACTTGGCTTACAGGTAAAGTTTGAATAGAAATATAATCATCGCATGAATTTCCATGATTAAAAAGCAAGAAAAAAAAATTGTTTGCTGTTCAAGAAGAAGAGACACAAATGCAAAAGAAAGCACACTGGTTGAAAGTATGTACAAAATTCTAATCATAAAATGCACTACTTTTCTGCATAAGCAATAGCTTCTCTTCTCTCATGTTTCCAGCATTAGCAAGTCAAATTCGGTGCTTCATTATACCTCCTTTTGTGTTACAATATACATGTATAAATTGTAAACAGTTTACACTTCAAGTTTTCCTTTGATAAATTTGATAAAATAATCTGAATAAATTCTCACATATATTAATTGATATATTTTACATACATGTATATATTATAACTGCAAAGGCCTTACACAGTGCTCTCAAACCACTTTAAAATTCCTACAGCAAAAGGAGTCAAAATTATCATATCAAAATGCCTTGTCCTTTAACAGAGATTATCTCCAACACGTTTTTCTCTTAAATTCACATACAATGGTGAACAAGTGTATGCATAGATATCTAAAAAACATGATTTGAAGCAGTGAGTAAAGATTAAAGATATGTGTAACTGCCAGTGTGTCAGAATTTGTACAATACTGTACATCTACTTATATCTTACCCAATTCAATCTTCCTTTTAAAGGCTTTTCAAGAACTATCTGGTAAAATCAAAAAGCATTTTTATCAATCATATATGTATTAAATCAAACTTGGAAGATCAATTAGGATTTCATCAATCATACTTGAAAAAAATCTATATAGCTCTATCAATAATACTATGCATCATACTTTTAAATATGTAAAAAAAGAATAATTTGGGGCTTAATCAGAATTGTTTATCATTATCTATATAGCTAATACATGTACCATATTCCTGATTGTCCAAAATTTAAATTACCACAAAAGACAGCATCAGATTTGCAAAAACATGAATTCTGCTAAAAGGGTATATGTACATGTACAGTATTGATCTTCACAGCATCTTCTTCAGAGAACAAACTGTGAATTATCATTCATATTTTTTTTCTACATAACAATTGGAATTCTTTTTTTTTATTAAAGTCAGGCAGCTGCTTTCTTTTTTTCCTTGCGCTTTGCCAGTTCGTCAACAAATGGGGATTCATAATACATTTCCATTGGTGGACATGTGCACACTAAGTTCTGATCGCCATAAATGTCATCAATTCGGCTCACAGTGGGCCAGAACTTTGTAGTGGCTGTCACAAAGGGCTGAAACAAAGGGGAAACATCAAATAAAAACAGGATATAGATTAAAAACTTTTTTTTACCAATTTTATCAAAAGTGTAGACATTTCAACTTCAGTACATTTGCTGAAAGAAAACTGTCAATCAATTCATTTCTTGCATCCATATTTTCATGATATATTTGTGATCGATACACATAAAATTACCCATTGTTAGTACAATAAGCAATATATTTCTTCATGTTTCTATTTATGACAACTGAACTTTTGCTTTAGAGTGTCCTATGATTCACAATGAGAAATTACCACATGCAATAGAGGATATCTCCTTGATCAGGTGCAAGGCACACAATATTTACTGTGTAAAATAACCTGTCTATCCTTTTTTTTTCTCTTTAAAAATTTGAAATTAAACTTTAATTTGAAACTAAACTTTCACCTGTAAGATGGTAGAACTGTCAAATCCTAGGAAGGAAAACTATTTTTGACAAAATGATACATGCAACATAAAACATCAGTAAAAAAACTAAAACAGAGAGGTAACTTACAGCTGGGAAGACGGCCACTTCTCTGGAATAGGGACGATCCCAGTGAGAGGACATGACTTCAGCTTGAGTATGAGGGGCCATCTGAAAGAATAAATAACAGAGTATCAGTATAAAATATATTTGATATGGGCAAATTGAAAGAATTGTGGTTCCTGCTTTTGGTGTCTTCATGGTTGGGATGCAATTAGTTGCAGCATAATATAACTTTCTTGTTTAAGTGTCCTTCAAACTTCTAGGTCAAGGTCACGAAGTCAAAAATGATATACCTTTCTGAAAGGTGTTGTCATAGTAATGTACATGTAAAATATGAAAGCTCTAATCTTCTCTCATTCAGAAGTTATTACCAATGTGAAAAAAAAATTGAAAAAGACAAGGTTAAACTTTAAAGTCAAGGTTACAAGGTAAAAAAAAAACAAAGTACATATGGAGAGGACTTGAAACAGTTAAAGCGCATGTCAAATATAAATGCCATTTCTTCTTTTATAAAAAAGTTATCAGCAATGTTAAAATTTTGGAAAATTAGGTCAAACTTCAAGGTCAAGGTCATGGGGTTCAAAAAAATCACAGTATTTGGAAACATCTCAGCACAGGTAATACACATTCAAATATGAATGCCTTATCTTCTCTCATGCAAAAGTTATCACCAATGTTAATTTTAAAATTATGTCAAACTTCAAGGTCAGGGTCAAGGGAACAAAAATCCAAGCATGTTTGGAAACAACGATCACAGGGTAAAAAATTATAGTTAATTTAAAAGGTCTTGTCACAGGTAATGTCCATATGAAATATGAAAGTCTATCTCTTCTTGTTAAGAAGTTATGTCCAAGGTAACAGTAATGTGAAAATTTTTGAAAATAGGTCAAACATCAAGATCAATGTCACAGGGTCAATAACCATAGTATATTTGCAAAGGTCTTGTAACAGGTAATGTACATGTGAAATATGAAAGCCCTATCTTTTCCCATTCAAAAGTTATGACCAGGGTTAAAGTTTTTGTGACAGACAGACAGACTGACAAGACAGATGAAAGAGTGAGATTTAATATCCCCTCACTCTCAAGAAAACGGGGGGACAAAGGTAGAGAAAGTACAGAGTATTTCACAGCAAAAATTACAAAGTTACTTTATGATACCATATCACACAAGGCCAAATAGTGTAAGGAGTTTTTATATTTACAACTGGGATCAAATTTATTTTGAAATCAAATTCATTTTGAAATTCTGGACAATTTTTTTTTATTACACCATTCAAATGTCCCTTATGCAATACCTTAATTGGGTTCATCTTAGAATCATATCGTCCTTCTTCAATATCTTTTATTTCCTGTCTAATAGCTGTAAAACACAAAAACACCATTTTGATATACAGTAGCATTAAACATTGGTTTCTGAAAAAAAATTAAAATGTACATATAGTCACAGCTCTGATTCATATATCAAATTTTGATTCTATAGAATGACGAGTAAAACTTGAATTACCAATTAAAGCATCACAGAATCTGTCTAACTCATCTTTATCCTCAGACTCTGTGGGTTCCACCATTAAGGTTCCGACAACAGGCCATGAGGTGGTGGGGGAGTGGAAACCTGTCCAAAAAAAAAAAATTTGAAAATCAAAAGCATATTCTTAATCTCCCAACAAAGAAATGTCTCTGTTACATGTCTACAAAATAATTAATCCTCAAAACCAATAAATGAACATTTTTTGAAAAAGTGTGCATGAAGAAATTTGAATAACATTTTATTTTATGCAAAATTCAATGTAGATATAAATATATATGCAACTCTTGATTATTTTTTAACTGGTATTGAAAATTAACTAATTTGTAATAAGGCAAGTGCTCTGATAAGTTACAGCCAGAGAAAAAAATAATGTGTTCTCAGGGTTCTGTCTAGTTGCTTTAACTTACCGTAATCCTAAAGCCTGTGTATTCTCAGAGTGGCTAGTTAGGTACTATAACTTACTGTAATCCTGAAGCGTTTTGTATTCTCAGATGCTAGATAGATACCATAACTTACCATATCCTGAACCTTTAGTATTCTTAGAGTGCAGAATAGTTAATATAAACTAGAACTGTCCAAAAGGGACAAATACCCCCCGCAGGGTTTTCACAGAAAGTGCCAAGTCGCTAATACTAGTATTTGATGGATCTCATGTGTTCACTATTTATTTAAACATTTAGACTAAAAATTTACCGGTAATTGCTCATTATATTTTTTAATGAATGAAACTAAGGCAGAGCCTAATAAAACATCAATACTTTTTTTTGTATTAATCAATAACATTTTTTTTATTACATTGAAAAAATAAATAACAATTTTTCAAGTATTTCTCTGTTGGAAAGTATGGATGCCTTATTTATTCATTTTTTTCTACAGTAAATATAGGTCATTACCGTCAAGATCATGAAACACCCTCAGGTCATAAGCAATCTTATGTGTGAGGTGGAAACTCCCAACATCCCAACATTATTCTCCATAAGAAAGATACAGACCGGACATGAATTATGAACTTTTTCTGTCAGTGACCTTGAATGTACCCAAATGACCTTGGTCAACGTATGACACACCCTCAGGTCATAAGCAATCTTTGTGTAAAATAGGAACTCACCAAGTTTATCCATAAGAAAGATATGGATCGGGCACGAATTATGAACTTTTTCTTTCAGTGACCTTGAACTTGCCCAAATGACCTTGGGTCAAGGTCATGACACACCCTCAGGTCATGAACATTCTTTTTGTGAAGCAGTAGATTCTAATGTTCCTCCGTAAGAAAGATATGGACTGGACACATTTGCACAGACAGACAGACGGACAAGGTGATTCCTATATACCCCCCAAACTTCGTTTGCAGGGGGGTAAAATTAACCATAATCCTGAAGCCTTCTGTATAATCAGAGTGCTGGCTAATACTATATCTTACTGCAATCCTGAAGCCTTTTCTATTTTCAGAGTGCTGGATAGTAACAATTACTTACTGTAATCCTGAAGCCTTTTGTATGTTCAGTGTTGGATAGCGACAATAACTTACTGTAATCTTGAAGCCTTTTATATTTTCAGAGTGCTGGATAGTAACAATTACTTACAGTAATCTTGAAGCCTTTTATATTTTCGGAGTGCTGGATAGTTACTATAACTTACCGTAATCCTGAAGCCTTTTAGCAATATCCATCACCTCAATACCAGCAGTTTTCTTAAATTCCCTGCAGTCAATAATGAACTCGTGGGCAACACAACCTGTGAAATAGTCTTGGTGATCAAATTCCAAATAAATATACATGTACCTACAAGATTCCAGTCACTAGAATAGTTTTCAGCCATAAAAAAATGAAAAGATATATTTATTAAAGAAAGAATCCTAGCTATAAATTCTCTACACAAATATTTTTTGTATATTGTAAAGAAAAAATTATTTTCACTGCTTACTTCAACAAAAAATATTTTTCTTTGAAATCTTCAACACATACAGACCTTCATCATTCTTATATAAAGTCTTGTAATATCCATCCAATCTTTTGCTCATATAGTTAGCATTCAGAATAGCAACTTCTGAGGCATGCCTTAAGCCCTTGGCTCCCATCATTTTAATGTAACCCCAAGAGATGGGCAAAATGGCACTGGATCCAAAAGGAGCCGCAGACACAACACCAAATGATTTGGCTTCAGGTCCAGTGGTGCCATAGGGAGGGATGACTGGATGGGTGGGGAGGTATGGTGCCAAATGTTTCTTCCTGTGCAGCAAAAATAACAAAGGCTATATGCATTTTCCAGAATTTTACATCGAAGTCTGAAGATGTTTTTTACATTATAAATTTTATGTTATTACAAAATCATCACATAATTTGGTCCACTGCTATTGCACAAAGTATGCATGTACATGTATTTGCAATGCAAAGAAATGTTTTGTATACCTGATGAAAATAACAATACACATTACTCCATCACACAAAAGAAGAGAAATTCATGTTACACTTTATAAATTTTTGGGGGTCCTTACACTCCAATAGGCCCCATTCCTGGGCCTCCTCCTCCATGGGGAATGCAGAATGTTTTATGGAGATTCAAATGGGAGACATCTGACCCATAGTCAGCTGGGCGACAAACTCCTACCTGTTCAATAATGTGAATTATTCAATACAAATGGTATAATGCCAGAATTCTTTTTTTTATGAACTGTTTTTTCAAGTTCAACTTAGCAGCTCTCAGTTGATGGTTTGAATAAGTATAAAAGAAAATCTCCTTTTATACATGTGACAATATTATACATATGTATTATAATGTCATGTAGAATTTTTACCTGAGCATTCATATTGGCACCATCAAGGTATACCTGACCTCCATGACTGTGAATAAGATCACATATCTCCCTGCAAGGAATATAACACATTAATTACTTTGGCCAAAAATGTAAAAAAATCTCTAGCCATAAACTGATTAAGATTCATGACATAATCTGTTTCTCCAAAGTTACTGATTTTACCTGACTTCTTTATCAAAGACACCATTTGTTGATGGATAAGTTATCATCAGACAGGCTAGAGTATCCTTGTATTTCTCACACTGAGACAAATAAAAAGAATCTAGCTCAAACTTCCGACATAAAAGAATTGCAATCTAAAACATAACACTTGAGAGTACTGCATGTGTACTTAAAAAAAAAGCAGGCTTCATATTTTAGCAGCTTTAACATGAACATTGATGCGCTGATTCATGAATACCGCCAAGAAATCATACATAAATCCAATATATGGTGCGGAAGTGTATTGCGCTAATTCATCAATACACCATCAACTTAATATCCAGTGATTGCACTAAATTTTGAATAGACCAATTTATGTACACGTACAGTATATTTCATTTCATTTTTGTTTTTCACTTATTGTGACAACTGAAAACACAAAAAAACATCGGCTTGGAGTGCAAGTGTTTGGGTTTTTATTTCTCAGGACCCCCCTCCATAAATCTATTAATATTTACTAAAGAAATTCATTGCTATAACTTACCATTGCACGCAAATGCCTCATATCAATTGCACCATTTTTGTCTACATTGATTGGCTGAATTTTCATGCCTGCCATCTGTGCACTGGCTGGATTAGTTCCATGGGCAGACGTTGGAATCAAGCAGACCTATAACATACTGGATTTTAAAATGGAACTGTGATATGAAAACTTAAAAGTATAAACAATTTATTTTTTGATACCCCCAACTCTCCCTTTCACCCTCTCTCCCTGAAATTTTAGCTATTCTGGCTTCATAACTTACAGTTCTTTTATCTTCACCATTTGCATGGAGGTAGGCCATGATAGCTCTAAGACCAGCATACTCTCCCTGAGCTCCACTACAAAGGTTGAAATTTTGTCAAAATTAAATTCTATTCTTCAGTAAACAAGAAAAACAATAATCCTAAATACTTGATAAACCACGAAGTAATCCTAATAAAGCTCCATCATTTTTCAGCATACTAAATAATGCAGTCCAGTATTTCTTTGCAATTCTTCAATGGATATCTGTATGCTGTACCTATTTGGCTGGAAGGAGATTTTGTCGTAACCCGTAATCTCACACAAATCCTTCTCTAGCTCCTCAAACATCTGTTTGTAACCTAGGGTTTGCTCCAGGGGAACAAATGGGTGAATGTTGGCAAACTCCTTCCAGGAGCAGGGCTGAAAATTTTAAATTAAATCTTAAATGTTTTCAATAATACTCATTAAGTTTCAATGAAGATCTGATATGACAGATAACTCTTAATGGGATAAGAAGACTATTCCTTTATAAATTTGCAACGTTAAAAGGACATATCTGTCAATTTTCTGCAAGGTATGCTGAAATTGTGTGCATTTTAATTATAAATAAGATTTCTTTTAAAAAAATCATTAAAATAAAAGCAAAGTTTTATATATAAATGAACAGAGGGACAGAGGGATAATGAACCTTAAGCATATAAATTTTACTCTTTCCAAATGAATTTTTAAATTCTATATACACTGAATCAAGAAAAAAAAATGTCTGCTTTGCAAAGAAACACAGCAATAATTTTCTGAAAATCTCACCATCATCTCTGTAG